TGATCTTACATCCTTAACCGCCAGATCTCGGTGATCCCGGCGTGATATGAACACGCAACGCAGACAAAAATCCGATTCACGGAGGTGGGAAAAAAAATTGGCATTGAAAAAGTGGAGAATACAAATGCAGCAATTTGAAGGAGGTGGGAACAAAAATTAACAGCTATGAGAACTATTTAGACGGTAGTAAATGCCGTCCTTAGAGCTGGAAGTCTCCCGATGGAGTCGAACGGGGATGCGATCGGCTGTGTAATCCCCCTTCAGAAAGTGTATCCGTAACGCGGGCTTGAAGACTGCGGTAGAGGAGTCGAATGATGCTGAGCCGTTAGCGTCCGCCTGTTGATGCAATTTTTCAATCGCCTCTTTTTCCTCCTAAACACACCCCAAAATATATGCAAATTAGACCGTTTCAAAGGATTAATGAATACCTGATCGTTGGCCAACAGCCGACAAACCACTGACGAGAGCCTAAAATGATCGGTTAGGTGGCTCAACATATCGAAAAAGACAGTCTGGCTGGCAGCCCAATCCTTGCGTGGCAGATAGGGACCGAAGCAGGCAGAAATGGAGTCGATGAGCAGGAGAGATATTGTTGGCGTTCGTTTTAACAGGTCCCTGATACTCCAGAGGCCGAGAATGCACTCAGACACGGTGCGCGCAGAGACCACAAAAACAGAGTCCAGAACCTAGAATATTCAGATCGCGCAAAGCAAACACGCCTACCTTATTGATCATTTCTTCGCGACAGGGAACGCTTTTGGCTGCCAGGTAAGTGTCAATGAAGGCACCGAACTCGAGCATGGAGAAGGTGGCTTCTGTGTCGAGGAGGACACAGGCCTGTCCCAGGCCACCGAGGGCCGGCGACAGTGTGCAGCGGCAGATGAGATCAAAGAGGACGCGGTGGTAGTCGGCGTCGGTGTTAAAAAGGAATTCAAGAGGAATACCACCGACCACTGCGTCCTCCTGAAGTTGACCTCTAAAGACCGTAGAAAGGACATTGCGTGTCTGAAGACGACTTGAGATCTTGGAAAAGATCTTTGGAGGGAGTGCAGGTCAGGTTGGCGAGGCGCCGACGGACTTACCTTCAACCCGCTCTGAGTGGGAAGTGCCATTTTAGACTTTTGCCATAGTCCGAGCAGTGAATGTTCTAAAATCAGAAGAGGAACTTTAAAAACAAGCGAATAGAGCATGGCATGGAAAAAATTAACAGCACTTGATAGCATTTTTCTTGTTTAAATAGATCGGGAAAACAAAATGTGCAGTACTTGGCCAAGGGATGGCTCTATACAATTTTAAAGATTCTAGGGCGAGAAGGTCCACTTACTCCTCTAGCACAGCAACATAAGGTTCCGGCATTGTGAGGACAGCGGGTGAGCCAGCAAGCATCGTGGCATGATATCGCTATAGCCTGTGACCGTTTTACAAAGAAGGACACGCGGTCACTGGAACGACAGTGTTAGTATACTGAATTTTTGGACTTGGACAGGAGGCATGCTTCGGAGCGTGGGAAAGTGCAACAACAACAATAACACTAACTGAACAGTTTTGTAGTCTGACAGGGAGAGAGGAGGGAAGGGGGAGACCAGGTTAGTCTAGCTCACAGTGGACTCATGGTGCTATGACTCTGGGCGTCCTTGGTTGGGAACTGAGCAGAACCATTTGGCCGCGGGACAACAAGAGAAGAGGCATAGCCTACGACCACCTAGCGTCGGTACTGCTGTCCCTTCACTGAATCAAACAGTATAAGATTTTAAAATTCAAAAAGTAAAATCAACTGCATATTCACCACCCAATGAAATGCAGGGGACTAGTTGAAAGATCTGTTTGGACAGAGACCTTGGCAATACACCGCATCCGAAGGAAAAGGCAAACCGGCATTTTATTTCTAAGGACATAATGGAACATCTATAGAAGACAAAAACGCATGCCGCCGAAAAACCGAGACTTAATGGAATCGATATTTAGGAAAACAGATGTAGTGAAGTGCTGAAACGCCCACAACCTAAAACATCCGGTAGAAACTTTTTGGGCTCCCAACTTACGATGTTTTTGCAGATTCTCAGTTTATTTCCGAAAGTGGCGCCA